TCTGACCTCATGCAGCCTCTCAGCAGTTTGGTTTGGAATACTTCCTGACCAAGGTTACTGTTAGATGTACTAGCAACGAGCATTCAAGACAGTATTATACAACCTTGCTGAGGCACCTTCAGAACTGTAAGCATGTAAGGTATTGATGTTGATCTCGTTAGAATATGTTCTTATTATCTGTTCTCCTGTAGGCTGAACTAATTTGACATGTATGGCTGTTTGAAGGCTTACTTTATATTTTAATTGAGCTATGAATATATTTGTGTGTTATTTTTGTGCATTTATTGTTAAAGCGACTCAAAATGTCTTTGTCATGTCTTACCAATAAAATATGTTTAAAACAAATCACTGAGTACTACAGCTATGGCAGACACAGTTAGTGAATGTATTACCACGTCGTATGGTAGAGTCATATCCTAAACAGAAAATATGAATTTCTACATAGGGACTCCTTCCTGTAGTAATGGCAGAGCCACACTGTGTTAACAGAGGGTGACAGTTATATTTATATAGAAAAGATTTTCACACCTAGAGCAAGTAGTTCAGGAGAATAAAATCAGGATATGCTGTGACAAACTGCAGAAAACCGTTAATACTGAATACACAAATCTGTCTCCACACTCCTACAGTTAAGATTGTTTGTCTTCGTTAAAGGTATCTGTATATTCTAACTGTTTGGAATCTGTATTTAAAGAGCTTGTCAGTTTGGGTGTGTCAGACTAATCTGTTGTGTAAATCTATGTTTGTTTGTATTTTATTGTTCCTCATTGAGGAGTGTCACTCTGTCTAACAGAGCTGCTTTGGGTCAGGAGTTGGGAAGTTTGTGGAGGCAGAGCTTGCATTAAGGCATTTACTGCATCTAACATAAAATAGAATTTCTAATATTTTGTCTAAAGGACTCCCCTGGGCAAGTTAACCTATCAAGCATTTTTTTTATTGTAATGACTCCATTATCCTACATTATTGAGGAGCCACTTAACCCTCCTGTTGTATTCGTTTTTTATAACAGCAATAATATTCGTGGGTCAATTTGACCCAGTGCATGTTTAATTATCCAAAAATGTACAGAAGCCCCAAAATCCAGATTTTTTTTTGTACATAGTTTGTACCATTTATCAATGAAATCAATATTTAGTGTAATTGTGTTATTCACCTCTTACAGATCATGGTTTCATTAGAACAAGTCACTCGTTTTTCACAAAACATATACATTCAAACACATTTTTCTATTTTCTTTTTTACATTGGAAAAACCTTGATATAAAATACATTAGTTTTGCATAACATAACATTTTTTAAATTACTTTTAAAATGCCGATATGACGTAATTTCGGATGGTGGACCCACAGAAAGTTGCTATCAGAAACAATGGCTGATGTGTTTTGGACGTAATATGGTCTGTGTTTACATTAGCAAGCCTCGCTAATAATCAGAGCTAACCTGTACTGGAGAGCACTTGTGTTTAAATAGCAGGAAATAAAAAAAGGAACTCACCTTGTGATAAACCCGCAAGAGAAAAAGCATTTGAGCTCCATACTGTTTCAGAAATAATCCTTGATGTGGTTTAGAACAGGATGGCGTTTTATCACAGCAGAATTTAACTTTATCTCCCATAGAATTCTGATCAGGCATTAGCTCCGCCTTTTTTCAAGCTAAGGAACCAAAATCCGCATTTCTCTAACAGGGCTGGAATAGAGGAATATGAGGGATGTCCATAGACTGTAGTGTCTGTGACGTCACCCATAGGTTTCTGCAGAGTTGCTGAGAAGCCCTCAGTAGGCGGGGTCGACCGCTGCCGTCTCGACAGTGAACTCACGGCCTGTCCACACGGCGGCGTGCGTTGTCGCTTGCCGGCGGGGGGGGGCTGAAACTCGACCAACAACCAATCACATGAATCTCCCGCCCCGGACACACAAGCACGCGGTTTGATTGGCTAGAACTTGTACTGGCATATGATTCGATTGGCTGACGCTTCCGCCGAAGCTTCAAAAGTTGAACATTGCTCAACTTTCGTCGCGAGCAACGCGAGCAAATCTACGCTTCGCTCCCACAATGCAGTTCGGCGAAACGTGAGGTCACCCCATTCAAAGTGAATGGGCAGAAGCGTTGAAGCTTCAACGCACGCCACCGTGTGGACAGGCCGTCAGAGTCTAACTCCCGCCTGCTCCAGCCTGATCCAAATAAGGGCAAAGAGGCGGAGCCGAGGCGGCATAAGATAAGTCGGATATTTAAATGAAGAATACTCCACCAGGCACAACAAACACGTCCAAGTTCAAGTTGTGTTCCCCGGATCAGCCTCGCAGCTGAGCCCCTGTAGCATCCTGGAGCTAACAGAGCTAACGGAGCTAGCAGAGGGACAGAAAGCTAGAAGCAGCAGTCACCGGCCTAATTTATGCAAAAACTTTAAGACCTAATATAACTAAAAGGGGTGCGTTATAAAAAAAATTATAATTATAATTTTCTAATCATAAATCTATCGATCATAAATCTATCGATTAGATTTATGATTCGAAAATGATAAAAGTAGTGTAGACATGTGGAGATTATCCGGCTGAACAAAACGTGATCCGACTCTTAAATGTGTGTCAACCACAGACCTTATTTCAAGCTATTTTCCAAAATCCTATGGAGAAATTGCATTGCATTTTTGTCGAAGGAACCGTAAGAAGTTTACTTCCGGGTTTTAGGATGCGTCACTGCGGTTCTCTATTGACCGCCATTCAAATGACAGTGTTGTTTTCCCCCAAAAGTGGGCGGGCCGTAATTTTTGCCCGGAAGTGATGTAGGTGTTACTCTCATCTATTTCGATCTCTCTGTCTGTACCATAGACTGTATATATAAATGGACGTAGGGTCCGTGACGTCACCCATAGGATTCTGCAGAGTTGCCGAGAAGCTCTTAGTAGGCGAAGTCGGCCACTAACGGCTCGACAGTGACGTCAGAGTTCAACTCCCGCCTGCTCCAAATAGAGTGGCGAAGTCCCTCCCCTTCCGGTGGACCTCCATGGGACCTTATTTCGAAAGAATTATGTATTGAAGTCAATGGAGAGAGAAAGATTATCTTTCGATCCCGTTTGAATTGTGCCACGAATTACACATATGATGTTTGTCAATTTAAAAGATAATTTTGCAAGTCAAAAAAATTAAAATGTGTCGTAAAACTGTGAAGTAAGACATTTGTTTGTGTGAAACGCTCAATGAACTACATCTCTGGTCTCGCAGAACAACACACGTCACCAAGATGGCCGTCACTACTGTCTTGTCAACAAAACGATTGACTACCGTCACTTAGTGGCGGTTCTAGACCAATTTGACTGGGGGGGCCAGTTATTTTCTGAGGGGGGCACAATAAATGCAGGACGAAAAAGAGAACTAGACAGTATGAAGTAATTGCGCATAAGAAAACAATGCAATACAGTTATTGGTATTTGTTTCAGTACACTTATTTATTTCAGATATATCTTATAGTTGTTACTGTTAGCTTCAGCTTAAGTTATAGTACAATTTTTTGCATTAACACCATATCATATTTATATAAAAATAAAGGCAATGAACAGTTACATCTCTACTTTACATCTACAATTACACGGATACAATAGTTTAAATCACTTTCAATTATCGTGGTAGTCTCTCGAAACGTAGGTTTCAATCAGTCTTTCTTGGATGCAACAGCCTCTGATGATCCGAGATGAAAAGTGTTTGTTTTTCGCGCGCTTCAGCCGGACAGTGAAAGTGAGTGCACCGCTCTAATGGGTCCTGAGTGCACCGCTCTAATGGGTCCGACTAGAATGACGAATAACGTTAGTTCCGTCTATTCCGTCTATTCCGTCATTCAATAAATCGTGTAATAAATCATAAATCTTTCATTTTTTTCACTTTTCATTTTTAGGGGGGCCACAGGGGGGTCAGAGGTCAGTGTTAGGGGGCACTGGCCCCCCTGCCCCCCCCCCCCCCTAGAACCACCCCTGCCGTCACTATCACCACAATGAAACACATCCAGAAGAATGTCTTCCAAACTTTTCCTAGCCTGCCTTCCTTTGATTCTCTCTGAACTGCCTGGTCTTTTTAATGTTTAATGCCAACCATTTGTGCAGATAGCATGAAGTAGAAAAGATCGGCGATCGCCGATGCTAGTGTTAGCATTTCTCCCCCGGGCTTAAATTGGGTATTATAGAATGATCACACCGGTGACACTACTCTTCAAAGGGTTCACGAAATATGACTACTACTCTTACTGTTTAACATTTTGGGTTACTTAATGTTACTTCATATTAAGGCTAATACAAATAACAAGGCTGTAATGCTAACTAACGTGCTAGCTACTAGCTAGGTAACTTGATCCAGCCACTCCTGGTCCTTTCATCAGACGCGTATTGGCGTCCCGGCTCTTCCCCAGAGTTTGCCGCTTGGTCTGTACACACAAACTGGAAGATTGACAATAAAGTTGACTTTGAACTATGATATAGTGGGAAAAGTATTCAGATTCTATACTTCAGTAAAAGTACTAATACCACACTATAAAAGTACTCAATATTAAGTAAAACTACTGCACCAAGAATGGTACTTAACCATTTAACTAAAAGTTAATACATACAAATTATTTATCAGGAAAATTAACTTAAAGTATTAGGAGTAGAAGTACTCATTGCAGAAAAAACGGCTGTCAATTAATTTTGTGAAACCACTTATGGTATAGTTACTTAAATATAATGCTGGATGGTTCAAGTTTTTCCTAGGTATTGTGTGTCAAAATCTGAATTCATAAATTAACTACTAAACCAATCTGAAAAAATAAATGTAGTGTGGTAAAAAGTACAACATGTAAGTATAGTACTTGAGTAATGCGAGTATGTACTTTCCACCTCTGATGATAAATAAGCTATCATTAGATAGATGACATTTCTCTGCACTGGCTTTAAGGATATTTGTCTAATGTTCACTAACTGTGAGACCTTAACATGGATGGTACATGTAATGAGTGTGTGACTTGTTCCACCCATAGGTGTAGAATGGGGACTCCATTTCCCAGCAGCCAACGGCGAGTACCAGTCTCCCATCAACTTGAACTCCAGGGAGGCTCATTACGACCCATCCCTCCTGGATGTCGGCTTATCACCAAACTATGTGGTTTGTCGAGACTGTGAGGTAATCAACGATGGACACTCAGTCCGCATCATTCTCAAGTCCAAGTCAGGTGAGTCACATGACAACAGATCTACTCATTCATGTGTTACAGAAGTGATGAGGAGGCATGATGCATGTTGAGTGAGAGCTCTCAGTCATTGTGACCACACTGGAAAACTGAAACGTTGACTTTAATTAAAGGTCCCATGACATGGCCATTTCTACTGATCATAATTCCATTGTTGAGGTGTTGAGGTCTACTAGAATATATTTATATTGTTCAATGTTCCAAAATCACATTGGTTTTATCATACAGCATCTCTGTATAGTATGTGTATTCACCCTCTGACCTACACGGCTTGTTGGAGCTCCTGCCCTCCCTCCCTCCCTCCCTCCCTCCCTATGAGCCCACTGTGCTCTGATTGGTCAGCTCGCCCACTCTGTTCTGATTAGTAAACCACCATTACAGCTGGTCATCAGTGTTTATGTGTTACAATGGCGTTTGTTAGCAACCAGAAAATGACACCAGTAAGGACAAACAGATGAGAATGCTACGTGGGGTCTGGGTGCCGTGTTGGCGGGACATTGCGGGGCTCGCTGCTCCGCCCTTTGAGGCTCGAGGAGCGGACAATCTGAGCTGGATTACTGGTGTCGTTTCCTGGTTGCTGCGTGGGGTCTGCGAGACAGACCCCACGCGTGGTGGGGCAGCCTGTTAAAAGGGAGTAATCCAGCCTGGATGTTATAAAAGCATGAAGGAGCTTCTCTGCATCGGTTTGAGTCAGGATGTGATATGTGCATTCACAATGCCATCAATAAAATGCACCTGTGTTCATCGTCCATAACATACGCCTGCCCATACCGTAACCCCACCACCACCATGGGCCACTCGATTCACAACATTGACATCAGAAAACCGCTCACCCACACAACGCCACACACGCTGTCTGCCATCTGCCCTGAACAGTGAAAACCGGGATTCATCCGTGAAGAGAACACCTCTCCAACATGCCAGACGCCATCGAATGTGAGCATTTGCCCACTCAAGTCGGTTACGACGACGAACCGGAGTCAGGTCGAGACCCCGATGAGGACGACGAGCATGCAGATGAGCTTCCCTGAGACGGTTTCTGACAGTTTGTGCAGAAATTCTTTGGTTATGCAAACCGATTGTTGCAGCAGCTGTCCGAGTGGCTGGTCTCAGACGATCTTGGAGGTGAACATGCTGGATGTGGAGGTCCTGGGCTGGTGTGGTTACACGTGGTCTGTGGTTGTGAGGCCGGTTGGATGTACTCCCAAATTCTCTGAAACGCCTTTGGAGACGGCTTATGGTAGAGAAATGAACCTTCAATTCACGGGCAACAGCTCTGGTGGACATTCCTGCTGTCAGCATGCCAATTGCACGCTCCCTCAAAACTTGCGACATCTGTGGCATTGTGCTGTGTGATAAAACTGAACATTTCAGAGTGGCCTTTTATTGTGGCCAGCCTAAGGCACACCTGTGCAATAATCATGCTGTCTAATCAGCATCTTGATATGCCACACCTGTGAGGTGGGATGGATTATCTCGGCAAAGGAAAAGTGCTCACTATCACAGTTTTTTTCAGATTTGTGAACAATATTTGAGAGAAATGGTTATTTTGTGTATATAGAAAATGTTTTAGATCTTTGAGTTCATCTCATGAAAAATGGGAGCAAAAACAATAGTGTTGCGTTTATATTTTTGTTCAGTGTATATATATTTTTAAAACACACAATGCTAACACTGACCCTCTGAATTAGCCCCGAGCGAAAAATGCTAACCTATTACTGCACCGAAAATCACTCCAACACATATTTTATGATCGCAAGGAGACACAGAATCTAACGGTGGCCACCTCAACACTCAAAGATACAGTTCATCTCATGAAAAATGGGAGCAAAAACAAAAGTGTTGCATTTATATTTTTGTTCAGTGTATGTTAATTGATGCTTCATTCCAGATTTCACTTCAGTTTTGTTTGTGTTTAATAATGAATAGTTGCAGGTCATCCATGCTTTTAGACCTGACAGGCATTCTTGTCGTTTTGATCATTTAAACTGTTCATCTGTCTTGAAAGATAGGTACAGCTGTGTATCGTCAGCATAACAATGAACATTAATTGAATATTTCCTTTTAATATTGCCCAATGGCAACATATATAGAGAACAAAATGGTTCCAAGGACAGAACCTTGCAGCACTCCATGATTGAGTGTGGTTTTCATTGAGGATTCATCATGCGCAGATACAAACAGAAGCCGTTCTGAGAGATATGACCTAAACCAGTTTAGTGCAGTACCCCCCTTTTAGCCAATTGACTGTTCTAATCTCTGTAGTAAGATGTTGTGGTCAATGGTATCTAAAGCAGCACTCAGGTCTAAGTACCAGGATCGAACAAAGTCATTTTTCAGATACAATGAGAAGGTCATTTGTGACTTTCACTAGTGCTGTCTCTGTGCTGTGATGGATTCTAAAGCCTTATTGACATTTCTCAGGTAATTGATTCTTATGTATGTATTCGCACAGCTGTTGGGCCTACTTTCTCAAGGATTTTAGATATTAAGGGGAGGTTAGATATTGGTCTATAGTTGGTGTCAAGGGGTGAACTCAGAGGCATGAACTCAAATGCACAACTCAGACTGGTTTTCAAAAATAAAGACTTTACTGGACTTAACACAGTAATGAAACAGGAAACACAAAATCACTCTTTCGAGGAAAAACTAAATGCTATAATCAGGAGCATGAAAAATGGATTACGACCATGGAGCAGGCTTGAACTTAGTCATGAATGAGAAACGAACTGGCACTGGACAGGTGGGGACTAACACAATATATATACAAGGTGAGGGGCACAGGTGGAAACAATCAGGGCGGGGTAAACAATCACGAATGCAGGAGACACATAGGGGCGGGGAGCATGGAGTCCTGAAACGAGAGGGAGAATTACTTTTCCAAATAAACAGAAAGCACAGGACAAAGGGACATGACAAAACTAATATAAAGAATAAACTTTCATAATAGTTTCCGAGACATGACAGTTGGCCATAACCTCAGGATCAAGGTTAGATTTTTGAAGGAGAGGTTTAATTACAACTTCCTTAAATGACTGTGGTGCATTGCCTTACAATAATGACATATTTAAGGAATTGTATTATAGATGTGCTAATTAGGGGTAACATTTCTTTAAACAGCTTGGATGGAATTGGGTCTAAGACACAGGTGACAGTTTAGAAGAAGAAATAATTGAAGTTAGTTGGTTAAGGTCTATTGGGAAACAGCAGTAGTGTGACATCTTTTGACATAATACATTTAATTAAAGTCAATGTTTCAGTTTTTTCAGTGCACGTTTTCTCACTTTCATTTTTACTCTGACCTGTTTTCTACTTCCTGTTTGTGCTTGCCCACGATGCCCTGGGTTTCCTGCTCTGTTGTCAGTGGTTACCGGTGGTCCGTTGCCTAGTGATCATGAGTATGAGCTTCATGAGGTTCGATTCCACTGGGGCAAAGAGAACCAGAGAGGATCCGAACACACTGTAAACTTCAAGGCTTTCCCTATGGAGGTACACACACACAACACAACACACACACACACACACACACACACACACACACACACACTACACACACACACACACACACACACACACACACACACACACACACACACACACACACACACACACACACACACACACACACACACACACACACACACACACACACACACACACACACACACACTTCTGGCATTGACATTCGTCCTTCAAATAACATAGTGTTATCGTTGAAGTCCTTGAACAGACCGTGTTTAATGTTCTCTAACAAGTAACACTTCTAACATCCGTGTTTCTGTGAGTTTGTGTGTGTGTGGGAACCTTTATATTTAGTTGCGCCAATCCATATGTCTGTAAACAATTAAGAGGAAATTATATGCCATTATCCTGGATGTAGGTTTTGGGGTGTCCGATGCCTTGCTCAAAGGAGGTGAACTGGGACCTCTCCAAGTACAAGTCAACACTCCATATTTAGATAGCCCAGTTCCACTTCCTGTACAGATACAGCAGATATAAACTTAAATATTCCTTAAACGTTGAAGTGTTGACCTCTGTTATTAAGATAGCTTTTGAGCTCTTTTGAAAACCACACATTTATTGCTCAATAAGAAACATGATAATAATTAATTAAAGTAAATTAATTATCTCACTGTTTCTATGTTCCAGTAAGATAAATATGACAGCTTTTGAGCTGACAAATGACTGATCTGTGGACTGGGATATTCAGTGTTTCAGGGCAGAAGTTAGCACTACTTTCTCCATGTTCACATGAGGTTGACATAAGAGCCCTCACTTCTGTTCTCTACATCTGTTCACAACAACCTCTCAAACACAGGTTGTCTTGTGTGTGTGTGTGTGTGTGTGTGTGTGTGTGTCTGCAGCTCCATCTGATTCACTGGAACAGCACTCTGTTCAACTCTCTGGAGGATGCTCTTGGGAAGAAGAATGGAGTCGTCATCATAGCTCTGTTTGTGCAGGTAATCTTTCACATCAAGGATCAGAGGAGATATCCCCATTGTGCGGAGGCCGACAAGGGCAAACACGCTACAGCGGCCCGAGTCGAGAAACACGGTTACACTTTCAAAAATGCGGCAACAAAAATAATCTGCATAAAGGAATCACTGCAAATAAAAAAAGCTGCACGTAAAAAATAAATTGTATGCATTTATTTTATGCCGCATCTTTTGTAAACTCTGGGCATGTGTTATTGAAGATGTTTCTTCACTTGCATTGTTTTTGATAGTGTTTGATAGTGTTTGTCCTAATGAAGGTTCTTTAGGCCGTTGTAACGCGTTTTGCACCAAGCAGCAAACTTTGGGGCAGAGCCGGGACGCCAATAAGGAAGTGCCTCAAACTGCAGTTCATCTAGTGGCCAATAGGAGCAGTCTGCAGAAGGGAGCAATTTCCATAGACCCCCATGTTAAAATGACCAACTTTACAGCAGAAATAAACATGTTTACATCGTGGTTCAAAAAAGGTGACCCCTCTCTTACAAACAGCTTCCTCTAAAAAAACTGAAATGTTGACTTTAATCAACTTTATTTTGTCAACAAATTACACATTAGGTTTGTAGAAAGCAATAATATTAAGTTTAACCTAATATTTTTTATTTAAACTTATTATGATTGCTTTCAACTAACCTAATACAGTTGTGTGTATTTTGTTGACAAATTACAGTTAATTAAAGTCAACGTTTCAGTTAGTAGACACCCCCTCTCCCCCCGCAGACAGCCCTGACCTCCCAAAGCCACAGATTTAACACATCTAACTCACAGCTCCTTAGGGTTCCATTTCCTGTTTACTTCCTGTACGGATACAGCAGATATAAACTTAAATCTTCCTTGAACTTTGAAGTCTTTACCTCTGTTATTGTCATCTTCAGAAGGCACATTGATAAGTCTCAGGCCTCTGAACCCTCACATGTTGTTCCATCAGATCGGTAAGGAGCACCTGGGTCTGAAGGCCATCACCGAGGTTCTGCAGGACCTGCAGTACAAGGTGAGCAGGGGTCTCATCACATCATCAGATCAGATGATTAATAATCACTTCACCAACTATGCATTAATAAAATCATTCTGTTGTTACCATCAGGGGAAGAGCAAGATCATCCCCTGCTTCAACCCCAACACTCTGTTACCTGGTGAGCAGAAACACACCTGATTTCAAAGTGTAATCAATATATTAGACATTCTGAAAGAACAACATTACATTACATTACATTGCATTTAGCTGACGCTTTTATCCAAAGCGACTTACAATAAGTGCATTCGACCAACAAAATACAACTTGAAGAAAACAGAATCATAAAGTACATCAAGTTTAATAGAGCAAAAACATTTCAAGTGCTACTCAACTGGCTTTAGATAAGCCAGTCCTTTATTAGTATATAAGTGCTTTGTTAGTAATTCTATCGCTCGAAGTGGAGTCGAAAGAGATGAGTTTTCAGTCTGCACCGGAAGATGTGCAAGCTATCTGCCGTCCTGATGTCAATGGGGAGCTCATTCCACCATCCTGGAGCCAGGACAGCAAACCCACGTGTTTTCGCCGTTGGGAACTTGGGTCCCCCTCGCAGCGAGGGCGCAGCGAGTCGTTTGGCTGATGCAGAGCGGAGTGCACGTGCTGGGGTGTACGGTTTAACCATGTCCTGGATGTAGGAAGGGCCAGATCCATTCGCAGCATGGTACGCAAGTACCAGTGTCTTGAAGTGGATTCTAGTAGTTACCGGAAGCCAGTGAAGGGAGCGGAGGAGCGGCGTGGTGTGGGAGAATTTAGGAAGGTTGAAGACCAGACGAGCCGCTGCATTCTGGATGAGCTGCAGAGGTCGGATGGCACATGCAGGTAGACCAGCCAGGAGGGAGTTGCAGTAGTCTAGGCGTGAGATGACGAGAGCCTGGACCAGAAGCTGCGTCGCTTTCTGTGTCATATTATAATATAGCTATAGTTGTAGCCTGCTGGATCACCATCATTCTGTCCACTGTTTCATTCTTTATGCCAGTTTACACTGTATTACTAGTGTTATCAGTTCAAGTGAGAGGAAAGATTGCAACCCTCTGTGACTCTTATGTCCATAATGGGTTATAAACGTACTGATAATGAGCCGCAATGAGCTCTATGTCCTGTGCAACTTTGCTTATAGGCATTTCTAAATATTCATCACACATTGTAAAGCATTTTATAATGACTTTATAGGTATTATATTACATCATAATCACTGCTCATTTACTAAAGATGTTTTTGCAAGGAACTTAATGTTTTTATAATTGTAATGGTTGTGAAACATTACAATGGGATGATAAGTACATCTAGTGGTTATTGTTTAAATTAAATAAAGTTAAAATAATAATGAAAGAACAACACTGCAAAACATTTGATTTTACTCTAACACAAACTTTAATCACATTATAGACTATTGGACATATTATAGACTATGATAATTGCAAAAAATGCGCAGCAATAGTGAAATATTACAACATAACAATATAATTATAAAATACTTTATACTGCAATTATGGGTAAAAATGATTGGCTTTTTGAACCCAGATAGGAATCTGTTTATCAAACTCTTTCGAATCCCTTACTGAATCTTTTGGTGAAAACATGTTTGTAATAAGCAGCAGCAAAGCTCAGATATAACTGTCCTGACTCATCTCAATCTAAAGTAATCAGACTCAAACATGAACAGATAAATACATATTGAAGCAGGACTCAGGTTCCTCCCTGTGCGTGAGGTCCTTCCTGCAAATATTGCATTTGGCTCTTGTTTGGTTGACCTTGTGGAGCGTTTGAGTTCAGTCAGTCACTGTTGACAGATGTGTGGCTCAGTTACACCTCTATTATACGTCACCAGTTTGTTTGACTTTGCATACGCAGAAACAGGACAGATCAGAGAGAGCTCACACATGGTTTAATCATGGATTTGTTTGGCCGCAGAGCCTAAGGAATCTGCTATTATACCAACCTGGCCTAATTTAATCAAATGGACCATCAGAATCCCCTATATGATATAATATAAAAAGTATGTAAAGTATGCAGTGAAGCACCCACTCTACCAGCCTTTGACTGGACCATCTGATCAGTGTGCATATATAAGATGATCTCGTCATTTCGGGAACGGTGATTGTTTAGTACAATGAGAGTAAATGCTGCTTTGGACATCTATACATAAATATATATTTGAAATGTACTGTTATGTTCCTAAACAATTTGAACAAAATCAAGAATAACATGTTTTCTTTACAAGGACACAATATGCTTTTTGAACATGAACTAGAACTCTCCAGTTCCTCCACACTGCTGGCATCACCGCTTCTCTTTGGCAGCCATGTTTTTCTTATACCTGCCTGTTTCTATGGGCAGCATTCACTGACACACTTTGAATTCCCCCTCAGACCCTTTGCTGAGAGACTACTGGGTGTATGAAGGATCTCTGACCACTCCACCCTGTAGTGAAAATGTGACCTGGATCCTCTACCGCTACCCCCTCACCATCTCCCAGCTACAGGTAACGCCTTGTGTGTGTTGTCAGTCTGAAGACTTCAGTCTGAAACATGAAGAAATAAGTGTGGAGTCAGAAAGTTCACCAGACTGCTGTAGAGCCACTTCTGTCAGCTGGAGGCTAAATGGACATCTATTAGCTGCTATACAGCATGACACCCACAACTCCACCAGAACTGTTGTTGGTAGGGTTGCATTGTGGGTAATGCGGGTGCCAGGTTATCACAAGATAGTATGGTTTCAAAAATACATAGTTCTAAAAGCATCAAAATGTATATTTTTAATTTAAATCATCAATGGTCCAGCATCATTGATTCACACCTGTCGTTCGGTTCATTTGATCATTTGATCAAGACAAGGAAAACAATTGTTGCACGTTAATTCTTGTTCTGGAGTTTTATAAACCCACCAGGAGAACACATGAAGCTATTCAGAATAAGTTATGCAGCACTTTAAAGAGTCCTCTCCTGCTGATGTTCAGGTGTATATCAGTATGTAGTGTCTCTACTTTAAAGAGTCCTCTCCTGCTGATGTTCAGGTGTATATCAGTATGTTGTGTCTCTACTTTAAAGAGTCCTCTCCTGCTGATGTTCAGGTGTATATCAGTATGTAGTGTCTCTACTTTAAAGAGTCTTCTCCTGCTGATGTTTAGCTGTATATCAGTATGTAGTGTCTCTACTTTAAAGAGTCCTCTCCTGCTGATGTTCAGGTGTATATCAGTATGTAGTGTCTCTACTTTAAAGAGTCTTCTCCTGCTGATGTTCAGGTGTATATCAGTATGTAGTGTCTCTACTTTAAAGAGTCCTCTCCTGCTGATGTTCAGGTGTATATCAGTATGTAGTGACTCTACTTTAAAGAGTCCTCTCCTGCTGATGTTCAGGTGTATATCAGTATGTAGTGTCTCTACTTTAAAGAGTCTTCTCCTGCTGATGTTCAGGTGTATATCAGTATGTAGTGTCTCTACTTTAAAGAGTCCTCTCCTGCTGATGTTCAGGTGTATATCAGTATGTAGTGTCTCTACTTTAAAGAGTCTTCTCCTGCTGATGTTCAGGTGTATATCAGTATTTAGTGTCTCTACTTTAAAGAGTCCTCTCCTGCTGATGTTCAGGTGTATTTCAGTATGTAGTGTCTCTACTTTAAAGAGTCCTCTCCTGCTCATGTTCAGGTGTATATCAGTATTTAGTGTCTCTACTTTAAAGAGTCCTCTCCTGCTGATGTTCGGGTGTATATCAGTATGTAGGGTCTCTACTTTAAAGAGTCCTCTCCTGCTGATGTTTAGGTGTATATCAGTATGTAGTGACTCTGCTTTAAAGAGTCCTCTCCTGCTGATGTTCAGGTGTATATCAGTATGTAGTGTCTCTACTTTAAAGAGTCCTCTCCTGCTGATGTTCAGGTGTATATCAGTATGTAGTGTCTCTACTTTAAAGAGTCCTCTCCTGCTGATGTTCAGGTGTATATCAGTATGTAGTGTCTCTACTTTAAAGAGTCCTCTCCTGCTGATGTTCAGGTGTATATCAGTATGTAGTGTCTCTACTTTAAAGAGTCCTCTCCTGCTGATATTCAGGTGTATATCAGTATGTAGTGTCTCTACTTTAAAGAGTCCTCTCCTGCTGATGTTCAGGTGTATATCAGTATGTAGTGTCTCTACTTTAAAGAGTCCTCTCCTGCTGATGTTCAGGTGTATATCAGTATGTAGTGTCTCTACTTTAAAGAGTCCTCTCCTGCTGATGTTTAGCTGTATATCAGTATGTAGTGTCTCTACTTTAAAGAGTCCTCTCCTGCTGATGTTCAGGTGTATATCAGTATGTAGTGTCTCTACTTTAAAGAGTCCTCTCCTGCTGATGTTCAGGTGTATATCAGTATGTAGTGTCTCTACTTTAAAGAGTCCTCTCCTGCTGATGTTCAGGTGTATATCAGTATGTAGTGTCTCTACTTTAAAGAGTCCTCTCCTGCTCATGTTCAGGTGTATATCAGTATTTAGTGTCTCTACTTTAAAGAGTCCTCTCCTGCTGATGTTTAGGTGTATATCAGTATGTAGTGTCTCTACTTTAAAGAGTCCTCTCCTGCTGATGTTCAGGTGTATATCAGTATGTAGAGTCTCTACTTTAAAGAGTCCTCTCCTGCTCATGTTCAGGTGTATATCAGTATTTAGTGTCTCTACTTTAAAGAGTCCTCTCCTGCTGATGTTCAGGTGTATATCAGTATGTAGTGACTCTGCTTTAAAGAGTCCTCTCCTGCTGATGTTCAGGTGTATATCAGTATGTAGTGTCTCTACTTTAAAGAGTCCTCTCCTGCTGATGTTCAGGTGTATATCAGTATGTAGTGTCTCTACTTTAAAGAGTCCTCTCCTGCTCATGTTCAGGTGTATATCAGTATTTAGTGTCTCTACTTTAAAGAGTCCTCTCCTGCTGATGTTCGGGTGTATATCAGTATGTAGGGTCTCTATTTTAAAGAGTCCTCTCCTGCTGATGTTCAGGTGTATATCAGTATGTAGTGACTCTGCTTTAAAGAGTCCTCTCCTGCTGATGTTCAGGTGTATATCAGTATGTAGTGTCTCTACTTTAAAGAGTCCTCTCCTGCTGATGTTCAGGTGTATATCAGTATGTAGTGTCTCTACTTTAAAGAGTCCTCTCCTGCTGATGTTCAGGTGTATATCAGTATGTAGTGTCTCTACTTTAAAGAGTCCTCTCCAGCTGATGTTCAGGTGTATATCAGTGTGTAGAGTCTCTACTTTAAAGAGTCCTCTCCTGCTGATGTTCAGGTGTATATCAGTATGTAGTGTCTCTACTTTAAAGAGTCCTCTCCTGCTGATGTTCAGGTGTATATCAGTATGTAGTGTCTCTACTTTAAAGAGTCCTCTCCTGCTTATGTTCAGGTGTATATCAGTATGTAGTGTCTCTACTTTAAAGAGTCCTCTCCTGCTGATGTTCAGGTGTATATTAGTATTTAGTGTCTCTACTGGGACATGTCTCCGTGCTCTAATGTTCAAAAAGCTCTTTATTCTTCTCATACTGCCTGTGCTGCAGCACCTCTTTTCACCCTCTGTCTGAAACCAGAGCCCAGTCTGCTCTGATTGGTTAGCTGGCCGACTCCGTTGTGATCAAATATATTCCTGTCAGCACTTGTGTTACACTGAAAAGACTGAACCGTTGACTTTAATTAAATGCATTATGTCCAAAATGTCACAAAAAGTTAGTTGAAAACAATCATATTAAGTGGAACCTCTTTAAACTTAATATTATTGCTTTCTACTAACATCCAAGACTAGTGACCAATTACAACAGAGTCGGCCAGCTAACCAACCAGAGCAGACTGGGCTATGGTTTCAGACAGAGGGTGAAAAGAGGTGCTTTAAACCACTGTTCACTCTCTTCCTGCATCACATCACAGGTATAGTTAAAATCAGAGACTAGCAGGCTTTCATACCACACAGATCCAATGAACCTGAGGATCTGTCCATTCAGTAGAGTACAGGAAACCTTTATACCCCCTGCCTGCCAGTGAGCTGTGGCCCCTGGCTGTAACTCAGCCCCTGCCTGACTCTTTCCAGCAGGTTCTTCTAAGGCTGATGATGTTAATCCTCTCATCAATTTCTCAGGACCTAAACCCGTTTTTTGGAGGCAGACCCCCACAAAGAAAAACAAATATTTACATGCGTAAGATCTTAAAGGTTCTATGTCTTAGCTATTTCTACTGATCATAATTCCATTGTTGAGGTCTACTAGAATAGATTTATATTGTGCAATTTTCCAAACTCACATTGGTTTCTCATACAGCATCTCTGTAAACTATGTGTATTCACTCTCTGTCCTACACGGCTTGTTGGAGCTCCTAACTTTTACATTAACTTTGGATAATAACACGCGAGAAATGAGCCGAAGCTCTCTCTTTTCCTCACTCCCCCCCTCTCTCTCTCCTGACAGCCGGTCCCTCTCCGTCTCATGCAGCTCACTGATCCAGTAAAGAGTGACCCGACAGTGAAGAATAAACACATTTATAACTAGTTCAGGTTGTTCCAGGGGTAGGCCTATATAGAGAGCACCGATCACACTAAGAGTGAATATCGGCCGATAACGATCGGCGGCCAATCGATTGTGGCATCCCTAATTATGTGAGTCTTTTATTTGGCGTGTGAGCAGGCTCGGATTGGCCATCGGGAGATTCGGGACTTTTCCAGGTGGGCCGCTGCCGTTGGTGGGCTGCTGCCTTCGGTGGGCCACTGGCTCTGGCATAGGTAGGCCGTGGACTTTCACAGCGCTGTTGCGCCGATACCGCACCCGCCGCCGAGGCTCCGGCAGTCACTATACACAAGGGGACGGGTAATAACCCGGAAAAGCATGACATGGGACCTTTAACAGTTTTTTATGCTCATCGAGTCATCCGTGAGCAGAGCATCAAGTTGGCATGCCTATAACAGCTGATTGCGGCGATTACCATGTTGTTCAGCAAAACGCCTCACAAACTTATTAAGATCTACAGCTTTAGTGGGTTTTGATTCAATGCTGAGTACAGCCAAACTTGACAGTCTCTTCTCTGTCATTGTAGACCGCAAATACCTCATTCCTTCCGTCTACTTGGGGTCCGAATGCTTCTCGCTTTGCGCCGTCCCGTTTTTTACATTACATTACATTACATTGCATTTAGCTGACACTTTTATCCAAAGCGACACTACCTTGAAGAAAACAGAATCATATAAGTACATCAGGTTTCATAGATTCAAACATTTCAAGTGCTACTCAACTGGCTTTAGGTAAGCCAGTCCTTTATTAGTATAAAAGTGCTTCGTTAATAGTTCTAACGCTCGAAGTGGAGTCGAAAGAGATGAGTTTTCAGTTTGCGCCGGAAGATGTGCAAGCTATCTGCCGTCCTGATGTCAATGGGGAGCTCATTCCACCATCTTGGAGCCAGGACAGCAAACCCACGTGTTTTCGCCGATGGGAACTTGGGTCCCCCTCGCAGCGAGGGCACAACGAGTCGTTTGGCTGATGCAGAGCGTAGTGCACGCGC